GTGCCAAGCGGACGATATTACAAACCATATACTCGTAAACGGGATAGAAGGAAAGAAGAAGAACGAGGGGAAACAGTACCTCCTTTTTTTGGAGTTGGTTAGAAACAGTAACCAACCGGCGTTCTCAGATGGCGGTATAAAGAAACTCAAGACAAAGCCAAGTCGGTAGCGAAAAACCTACAAAGAGGGTGTATACATTTCCAGCGGAATAGCGTACCTACCTCATATGTATGGAAATGGGAGGCTAAGCTTGGGCGCCTTAGAACACGTACACAATGCGGAATTTTGTTTTTATCCGACAATTTTTTTTTTCAAAATTGCCCCAATATTTCATATAGCGTATAACATTAGAAGTTTTTAGTTGAAACCAAAAAAATCAAAATTATTTATTCATATAAAATATTTTTGATCATTTATGCATTGCCATTCTGTTCATTAAAGCAGCGGGCCTACCATAAAATGAAATTCCGAAATTTCGTGTTTTTGTTTACACCAAAATCGGACCAACAAATGGAGTTCAACATTTCGTTCGTCGTACATCCTATCATAAAACTCCAAAGGAACGATATTTTAACATTTTTAATTTTTTCAAACGGCATGTATTATGTAATTTTAACATCAAATTTGTGTTTCATTTGGCTCCGAAATTTCGGAAAACATTTCATGGTAGACCCACAGATTCAGCCATGATAAGTATGTACGAGTAGTATATTACCACCAAGTACAATGATTACAAGTTTTTGATGGTTTCGGGCCATGTCATATTGCATTTTTTATGGTAAAAGTAAATATATGATAATGATAGTCTGATGGTAAATTGTTGCCATGGTCTATAGTCCCTTGTAATACCAAAGATGCAATTTGGCAAACCTGAAGGATTTTTCAAAAGCTTTTTTTAATAAAATTACAATTGGTTACCATGAATTTGTATTATTTAATCATTGCTGTCAATATCTGAACTTTAGCAACATGGATTTTAATTATTTTATATATCAATTAACTTAACTTTATAGACACTCACTATTATATATGGTTTTTTTCATACATATGCTTATATTACTTGCATACATCCACTCTAACTTGCCTACCTCGTTTTGGAATCAAAATTTTCGTTTGTATAAATAAAATCCGTTATTGGCTGTATTCATAAGAGACTTAGCATGTAAGTTATTTTTTAAGAGCTGTGGATTTTTGTATAAAATAAATAAATAAAGAATTTTATATGAAAAATACATTTTTCCTATGACATTAAGTGTTTAGCTATCATCATCATCATCATCATCATAGCAAACGTTAACTATCCATTATTAAATATAGATTTCCCCGATAAGGGAGGTTTAACCAATAGTTGCCACGCTTGGCAGCCGGATTGGCAACCGCAGTTAGGTTAGAGATGTTTTAAGAGGAACGCTGCTGTCCATCCTTCGCCTTCCTTTGTCGCCTCTTACGACACCCACGGGGAAGGAAGGAGTGGCCCATTCTATGCTGGGACTATACAACCAGATGATAATTATGGAATGTTAATTTCTGCGCTATCGGTATACGCTCGCAAGACACCATTCAAGTGTGGCAACTACTGGAAAAGCCCCCAAGGGGGAGGCTTAGATTTAGCAGAGGGCAATTAAAAGCTGATATGATGCATAAACATTTAAAAATCTTAATTACTAATAATGCTTTTTTAAAGACTTTGTACAAAAGTCGATTGCTTGGGTACCTTTGTCCCATTCGTGTTTCAACCGTGAAGCAGTTGTGTCTGCATGGTTGTGTTTCGGTTTGAAGGGTGGGATATGGCGTGAATTTACTGCGTACAGAGGAATAACACCAGAGCCCTCAGGAATGGTAACGCATGGGGGGTATCGTGGGCGAAATAGTATACTCTGTTATGTCCATGGTACTGCTCATGTCTATAGGCGACGGTTACCACTTTCCATCAGATGGACCGTAAGCTTGTTTGCCATTCTAAGTTGTATAAAAAAAATTAAAAAAAAATAAAATAAAATAAAGGACACAACATCACAATTGCCTAACAACCTTTAATCAGATGAGTCTTCAGAGGAATATAAAAAATGGACTGTACTGTGAACGCAGCCTACCGCTGTTACCTATAAAGTAATACATAAATACAGGTACGTCAGGTGTGCACGAACTCCACTCTGGCGAATTTATTTTTCTCCAAGATATTGCGTCGAGATTTGCGGGGACTCACATCGGCCCCTACAATTTATTTACCATAGCCCATTTCATATATAAAGTTTCTTAGTTACTATAAGTTATGGCGTTTATTACACATTATTGACATGATCTGTCGCGGGCAAAAGATTGTTTTACTCTAATTCAAATAAAGTCAATAAAAATGTATAATATACATTTACTAAAGAATAATCAAATCGACTACAAGACAGTCTGCTGATGTCCAATACTAGTACAAAAGGGGAAAGGATTGTTAGTAACGTTCTCAGGTCGACTCCCATGTGGACTACACTGTAAAGCATGTAGAATTAATTATAATTCAGCACGATAATTCGTGAAACAACTAATCTGCTTTTTCATTCTCACCTATTATCCCTTACTGTGTATACCGTTAGCGCAGTCGGGGTTATCATTCCATTGTTCTTTTCATTTAAGAGTTTCCTCTTGTCGGTGCAACTAATTCATGCATCTTCCTCCAGCCACCTCTATCCCAGGCCATATCCTTCCATTATCATCCATAAAAAAAAAAACATTACACTTCGATGGGAAAGAATTGTTCTACTCTATTTCAATAGAATTTAAATTGCCGTGTGGTGCCAGCGTAGAATAGGTCACCCATTCGTTTCCCGTGGATGTCGTAAAAGGCGACTAAGGCAGGGCCAGAGATGAGCAGCAGCATCCCTCTTAAAACATCTCTAAAATCTAACTGTGATTGTCAATCTACACGCCAAGCGTGACAACTATTAAAAACACCCCCCGTATAGGGGAAGCCTATGTCCAGCAGTGGACAGTTAACGGCTAATATAATAATAATTAGCTTAATTATACACCTCAGGTTATCTGACTCACCTACCAGTTTAAGCAATTTTTTTTATCATTTATTATTATTATATTCTTTATTTTAATTTATTTAAACTTAATAAGACCAAAAAAATGTGGTACAAAAGGCTTAATGCTATAGGCATTCTCTCTCTATTCAGTCAATCTTTAGAATGTGCAGTAAAACTTGATGGCGGTTTAAAAAAATAAAATTATATGTATTCTTTATTGCACTTAAACAATACATGCGACGATTAGTTTAACAACTTGTTAGCAAGGGAGGACTTATCTCGGAAAGAGATCTCTTCCAATATATATATATATATATATATATATATATATATATATATATATATATATATATATATATACATACATATATATACATATATATACAAGTTTAACACATTGTTAGCAAGGGTGGACTTATGTATCTCTATAAGAGATCTTTGAAAATGATTTAGAAAATTAATAATCTATTGCAGTAAATTAAAATAACATACAACCGGGAAAAAACCCAACCATTCGAAGTCTCGAACCAAGCTTTTTCGAATTTCCATTCCATATTACCTACCTAGCTATTATTATTTTGTTCCTTCATTATTTTATTTTCGTATTTAAAACCGCAAGAAAAAAATAAACCTGTCTGCACAGGGTGCTCTCTCGTCACGTAATACATCAGCTGTAATCTTCTTTACTCGTCTCAATTTCGGCCTACCCATCCCCCCTCGGCCCTTGGGATTACTCCCCCGCGCGGGTGATTTTTCTCCCTTATTATATTACCACGGCAAGTATGTTCGGAATAGTTCAGGCGTTCAATTTCGAGTTGTCTGCCTATATGAGACTTTATTATGTATATATATTATGTATTTGTATTGATAAGTACATATTATTTAAGTAGATATTAATTTACATAAAAAAAACTGTATTTATTTATGTATGTGTATTGTGCCGTGTGGGCCCAGTATAGAATGCACCAAACTTGTCTTTCTCATGGGTGTCGTAAGAAGCGACCAAAGGAACTTTATAGTCGAGATATAGGCAAACAGAGTTAAAACACAAGTTTAAGAGGGTTAAAACATCATTAAAAGTCTAACTGTTGTTGCCAATGCGCCTACCAAGCGTGGCAACTACTGGCAAAACCCCCCTTTATGGGGGAGGCCTATGTTCATTAGTGGACAGTTAACGCCTGATATAGATAGAATAGTTACTCTATGGTCTAATTTAAAATGTGGTTTATTTTCTACATTCATTACATTTACATTCTTTCATAATTATAATATTAATGGAATTATAAATTTTTATTTTATTTTATATAATTGGCACGTGCGTAATGTGTTAAAGAAATAACGTGTAACGTTTATCTAATACTAGTCAAACCCGTGGCTTTACCCGAGTGAATTAAAAGTAGTATGGTTCATCTATCAATCAAATCCTTTCAGAAATTTAAACGTGATAAATTGATAAATAGACTTACATATACTTTTATTAATTTTTATTCACATACTAAGTATCCATTTTATAAGTCTAAAAATCGAAGTGTCAATAAATATTGTCTATGCCCCACCTGAATTTTTATATAATCTATTTAGACTTTATTGTGTAATATTATTAGCAACGAACTGTTTTTCGAATTATTAAAAATAAAGTTTATATAAAAATATGCTTATTTTAATCATACCATAGACAACAGTTGCAAAAAAAAAAAGATTTTTCTCGGTTACCACAATCACTCATAAAAAACAATAATTTATATCCCAGCTTGCTAGGTACCAAGTCCCCCTGACACACGCCGAAAAAAAAACATAATTTACTTACATCCAACCATCCAAGACATTACCATGGCTCTAACAAGACACAATGGCTTCGCGAAATAACGTCCCACCCTAGCGAGGACGCAGCCATTCTTACTTGACCTCACCCCCGTCTCTCGCTTCGTCGTAAATGGACTGGGCGAGAAAAATGTTGTGCAAAGTCAGGGGCTAACTTACGCTGGTACAACTTGCCACCCACTCGGCGTCACTCGTTTCTAGTGATTGATGACGTAGGCGGGGCAAATCCAATCATTATCCGTGATGCATGGCCGTTGGTACATCACTACTCTTGATTTGGTACACTGCGGATTCGAATTTTGAAAATTAGATAAGCGAGAAATTTTATTACAAACAATAAAAAAAAGAATATTGAATACTTTTTTAAACTTTTGTAAATAGAATAGCATTACTTGAATAAAAATTAAAATTATGCACATATAAAAACTATTTTCTTATTTAATCTTGCTTGAATTTAAAGATACTGGTAACATTACTAGGTCTAGGTATAGTTAGGTACTATTTGATATACAAGATATTCTTCATTTACCTCCAGGTTGATCACTTTCTGATATTCTTATTTTAAATACATTATTTGTTCACTTAAAAAAAAAAAAAACATTAAAAAGTACTACATTTTAAAATAAATGTCATGTTTACTTTCTTTAACCTCAGGAGAGGTTCACTCTCCACTAATATCAATGATAGACTGAATCTTTATGAGAAAAAAATATTGCGACATTTAAAAAGTGCATACATTATAGGGCGACCCTTGAATAATTAAAAATATGCGTGAGCTCAAATAATCGAAAAGAATTAACCCTTTGCATGCAAATGAGGCGCGGATGCGGTGCCAGAATCACGACCGGTCTTTTTCGCCCAGGTGCGCTGTTATTGTAAGTTAATTTCAAGCAATCTTTACTGTTTATCTTAGTAGCTTATTATTTTTATATATATAATTTAGAATGGCCAATAAGCTGACGGTCCACCTGACGGAAAGTGGTGATCGTTGCCTACAGACATGAACAGTAGCATAGACATAACAAAGTATACTGTTTCGCCCATGATACCCTTCATGCGTTGTTATTCCTGAGGACTAAGATGTAATGCCTTTGTAGCCCGTAATTTTATTGTTACGTCAAACTGAAATACAGCCATGCAAACACAACTGCTTCACGGCAAAAACACGAATGGAATAGAAGTATCAAAGCAGATGATTTTTCTACAAAATCTGCCTTTCTTGCTTAACTTTTAAATATTCCAACATTTTAGTTTAATTTTAGATCAACTATTATTATAATAATGAGACATAACTATAATAAATAATCTAGTTATATATGTATGTCTCATATGAACGTCAATCAAGACATTGTCATTCCAACACGGAAATAGATATACCTTTTTTGATAAAAATTTATATTCAAAATCGGTTCAAACAGACGTGACATATTTAAAACTTTACGTTAGTTTGAACGTTTTATAAGTACCTACATCATCATAATTAACATATCAGCCGTAAACTGTCCACTGCTGATCATAGGACTTAAATATCTTTTTAATAACAATAGGCAGTAAGAATAGGAAAAAAAACGACGGTCTCCTTCAATTTAGAGAAATTAATTTATGTTGTTTAAACCCGCTTTAACCCTATATTAAAAAAAAAATTATAGCCTAAAACATTGGTACAAACGGAAATTCTTTCATAAGACAGTACACCTGCAGCCCACAGGGGGACAAATTTGAATTTGAATACCGCGACGCGGAAGGGTACAAGACGTACATCTTTCTACTTTTTTCATGCGAATAAACGTTGAACCGGTTAATTAAATAGCTTCTAAATTCAAATGTGAAAAAAAAATTAATTAGGGCTGTACCAAATCGGTGATATGATAAAGTTGTTACTCAATGGTTGTTTAGTTCCATTTAGTGCTTCAAAACTAAACAATACAAATATGATTTAAATATTTATTTTGAAAACTGATAGTGTTTCCTATTATTGTTTACATAATGATTCATATAATTGTGATTACTATCATAATTTACAAACAGACTAGCTATCCGGCCTAGTTTCACACACAGACAGAATATTTAAAAATAATATATATTATAGGTGAAAAACTTTTAAAAATTGCTCATTAGTGTTTGAATTTATCCAATACAAACAAAATAATCAATCAAATATTTCCTCTTTGTAATATTAGTATAGATATTTCCTAATCTAGATTCAGAACGTCATTATTGAATGGTGTTAAAAGCTATCAATAAATTAGCATATTGTAAACCAATGTTGACACAGCTTTCCATAACATCCAACCCCATCGATTATACCAATAATATCAGAATTCTCACGGCACAACTTGGTATTCCTTTCTCACGGATAGAGAGCATGAATACATTAACGTGTTTATTAAGAAAAAATTCTTTTATTGCCTATCTGTGTTATTTGAATAATTCCATCACGACACTGGCCTCAAAGAACTATAGACGCATTTGCTTAATTTGAATAAAAAAGTAAAAAAAGGGTTTGGGACCATTCTTCCGAGTGTCAAAATTGCTCTTCCGCATCCTGTTACAGAAAATGGAAGCTCATTTGAATATCGAACGTTTTTGAATACGAAGATGCATGAGATCTATTTTGCATGTCTATATCACTAAAGTCTTAGTTGAAGGGTCTGTCTGGAATAATTTAACTTTTCGCACAGTGGTACAAAAGCGAGTTTTGTGTGAGCATTATTGATTTTTACTGTTGATGCGTGGAATACTGTTTGTATGCGTAATGAGATCAAATATTTTCGGTGTGTTGTCAAATTTAGAGCTTTATAGTATAGTGATGTATGCATCGTTTGTGTGTAGTTGATTTATGCTTCGTAGTTTATTTTATACTTTTCCAAAGTAACATCCGCGGCTCAGGTACATTTTTTAAACATAAATTTAAAAAAAGAAACTGTTTTATATCGCCACTCACAGTTTTGTCTACGTTGTTTGAACATATTAATTAACTAATCATACTTATTTTAACAATCCATTAATGTCCCATTTCTGAATATGAGTTTCAATATATAAACATACAAATGAATTCATAATCTAATTCTTTTAGAAGTTTTTTAAGGTACTTCATATAAATGTTAGTCTGTGTACTTCATATAAATACTTCATATGAATTTCGTCCATATAACTAGGATAATTGTTGGTACATAGACCAATGTAAAAAGTAGTCTATGTTAATTCCCATCGGTATGTTGTAAATACCTAATTTATAACATAACGATTGGTTAACCCATTAAAGCGCTAAGAAGTAATAAACTCACATACATATTTTTAATATATTTATTTATTCACTCTTCATTGTAAGGGTTAAGCAGTACACATAAAAAACATATATTTATAAAGAATGGAAAAATCTCATCATTAAAGCTTTATCACTGAAAATTATTTTAAAATCTATAATTGAGTTATTCTATATTTCAAAACTATCTATACTCTTAGCGATATTAAAAAATCGAAAACACAAAATAATAACAATTAATAATTAATATTCATAACCCTTACATTCGAATGAAAAACGTCCATTATACAATGAATGATTAATTATTAATTTATTCAAGCCCAATTTTATTATCTGCAAACTGTATGAAACGACAATTGTTTAGTTTTGTTTAGTCAATACATTTTGTTCCAACGATTCAGTGTCAATAACGAATATGGCCGCCATTGTTATGCAAATAATCACAATTAATCTTGTGTTTTGTAACATGTTATTATCACGTACTTGGCATCCGATATACATATTTTTAGACTAGCTATGATCCACTGCTTTATCTACATAGAGAAATAACATGTGTATTAATTGACCGACTTAAAAAAGGAGGCAGTTTTCAATTTTTTGTTGTATGTAACGTGTCTATTGTTTGTTTAAATCTAAGATTAATTAAATCATTATCATTATTATTTATTTATTTTTTAATAGTTTTATTTTATTTATTTCTTAATAATTTTATTTTATTTATTTTTATTAATTTTAATATTTTTAAATTAATTAATTAAATAATTAAAAAGTTTATTTTTAACATAAAATTTTGTACTGTCTTTATGTTTTCAGATGCAGTTTGCAGTTCCGTGGCGCATTTTTTGAACTCGTCCCACCTCAACATTTTAAATGATTTCAGACATCAATTAGATAAATAATTAATTTAAAGAAACAAGAACCAGGGTGATAATGCAAATACCCAAACCAATACAAACACACATACTTTTCAATACAAATTTTATGCGGGAATCGAATCCGAAATCACCGGGTAGTGTATTAAACTGCCGCACTACTATGGCGATAGAAACAAGTAAATAAACACAAGGTCTTTATCTATAGAAAGGAAACAAAAACGAAACGAAGTAGAATAAATCGTTAGATGAAGACAGCGTAATGCAGGTTAATCGTTTGTGAATAAACGCTGAATTATTGTCTCGCCATATTGTTGTCTCGCTCGGCGATAATGTGGTTAGTATTTAAATGGATATTTTACTTTATCTAACTTTATAAAATAAACGTTAAGAGTTTCATCTCTTTGCCATTTTATGTATCGTAAAAAAAAAAAAAACTAAATTAAATAGGAAAAAAAAAATTTACTTGTGGCAAAACCAGTTCATCATCATCATACCATTATTATTATTACTGAGTATTACGGAGCGGTGGACTGTGATGAGGTGATGAAATGATGTAGACACGGAATTTAGTAGCGAAATAAATGTATTAAACAGCAAGCAAGGAACAGAACAATATGATATATGTCAAAAAAAATTTTTTTATTTTTTTTAAATATTATTTTAAGGGCGTTTACCTTTTTCAGGTATATCAGTCCTATTGTACCCTGAACTGATTTCTCAAACAAAACTTTATCTACTTTCCCTAGACGCGGAAAGAGAAGAATTAATGGGCATCAATAATTTACTGAGATGTTAAAAAATTTTTGGTTTAAGTTCAGCTAACATAGATTGAATAAGATATGTCAAAAAATATAAAATTGAAATTACAAATAATAAGAACATTCTAAAAGTAAATGTATATAAAAAAAAAAGTATAATAACGTCTAAAGATTTTGCATCGGCCGTTCGCCAATACTGAGAGACGGGCTTTTTCAGGCATAAAAAACCTGTGACACTGCGACCTTACCATGATCTTTTGTGCTCGCCCTTTTTTAAAGTTCGCTGCTAATTCCTATCAGTGATAAGAAATTTAAGATGTCTTTTGGAGCGGTGTTTTTTAATTCCTCATCATCATCATCTCAGCCATTATCTGGCTACTGCCAAAATAAGCCTCCTCCATAAAGGGAGCTTTTGCCAGTAGTTGCCACGCTTGGCAAGCAAGTTGATAAACGCAGTTAAGCATTGGTGATATTTTAAGAGGGACGCCGCTGCCCATCCCTGTACCAGTGAATTTCTTTAGTCGCCGCTTACAACACTTACGGGAAGGGAAGCGATAGCCCATTATATACTGAGATCACACTGCGAAATCAGTTGTTTTGAATTACTAACTTAAACTAGTGAATCGGTTTTGATAAAACTTCTATGGGACCAATCTGAAAGTAAAAATTTTCCAAATCGGTTTACAACTGACAGATAAGGTAACAAACGTAAAAAAATACAACCAATTTGAAAACCTTTTTTTTTTAAATAGAGTGAAAATTGGAAACAACCTGAGGGTCTACAATGAAATGTTTTCCGAAATTTCGGAGCCAAAAGAAACACAAATTTGATTTTAAAATTTCATAATACATGCCGTTTGGAAATATTAAAAATGTTAAAATATTGTTCCTTTGGACTTTTATGATAGGATGTACGACGAACGAAATGTTGAACTCCATTTATTGATCCCATTTTGGTATAAACAAAAACACGAAGTTGAGTCCGAAATTTCGGAATTTCATTTCATGGTAGACCCGCTGATTGATAAGTGATAACTGTAACCTATAGACATGTAGAGCAAAATGGACA